AGTAATAATAATAAAATAAATAATAAGATACAATATCGGAATAATAACTAATAAAATAATAAACTGTTCTATAACAACATAATAAAATATGACTCAAATTATTATATAAATTATATATACCTTAAATGCTATGATTGTCCAAGAAAAACTTTTTGTCTTATTAAGTTAATCAATTTTCTGTATTAAGTGAAAGTTGTAGAGCTCATTAAAACGCATCTAATAGTGGTTAGATCATCCAAATCAGTCTAATAGTTGTCAAGATATCATTAAAAAACCTGTTAATGACTATATAAAATTTCTATAGAAACAATATATAATTTCTATCCCTTCGTCTGTATTTAGAACAAATTTGCCCCAGATTTTGAATTGCTGATAAATTTTTTACACTATCAGCAAATTAATGTAAATATATACCTCCAGTTTCTTATATTACTAAGTTTAAAAACACAATATCGATACTCCTACAAAGCATCTTAACAGTACAAACTCAAGGTAATGTTTAATAAACTTCTAAAATTTAATATTTGTGCATCAAAAAAAAGTAGATGTTAAATAACCCAAACTCTACTATCGTCAAATAGCTTTTTTTATTGAGGTTTATTTATTTTTTTTTTTTTACAGAAATGTCAAACGCTATTACAGGTGATAGTATTGCTTCAGATTTATAATATATTTTTACTATTGAGTATAATCATCATAAGGAAGAAATAATAGATCATAAACTTATTACAACTATTTAAGTAGAAAAAAAGGAGTCATTTACAGAACAAGAACATGAAAGTTATTTTGATACAGATCTTGAAAGTGAGCAAGCTGGTGAAACTAGTAAAAAAGCTTGTGAAAGAAGTAAAAAAAAATAAAAGGAGCCAGAGAGGCTGGGAAGACTAAGGAGACAGAAGTAGAAAAAATGATCAAAAAAATAAAACATTTGGGGTAAGTAAGCGAGAAAAAAAAAACCAATTAGTACAGAAAATAAATATACAAATAAAGACAAAATGAGACATTTAATGTTTCTGACTTACCAATTTTTGAGCCTATACAGAATTCTTAAAAATATTATGAGAGTTATGTAACATTATCATATGAAATGCAGCAAGGTATTATTAGTCCACTTACCCTATTTCAGCTGTATTTTACTGACCAACAATTGCAAATTATCATTGAAAATACAAATAAATATGAGCAATTAAAAGGTCGTAAAGGTGGTCGAACCTGGAGTCCATTGACTTTGAAGGAATTAAAAATTTGGATTGCGCTAGTTATTTATATAAGGGTTTATAAAATCTATACAGTGGAGGATTTATAGAATTCTGAAAATAAAAAGCTAACTCATAGTATTAAGGAGTTTATGTTGTTATATAGATTTTAGCAAATAAAAAGATTTCTTCATATTTCAGATCCAACTAAGTTTCAATCTTTTTGGTATTCAAAAGTAGATCCCTTATCATTGCATCTTAAAGAAACTTTTAAGAAATTGTATGTTCCTTGTATACAAGTTTCTATAAATGAAATAATTGTGTGATTTGCTAGCCGAAGTATATATATATTTAAAATTAAAAATAAGCCAACACTACAGAGTTATAAAATATTCTCACTTTGTGATGCAGGTTATATGTGGTCTTTTTTTTAGTTCATGAGCTGACAAAAATTTACAATTAGAATATATTGAAAATATTAATGAAGCAGGACGTATAGTTTGAAATTTAGCAAAACAGCTTCCAAAAAAAAAAAATTTTCATATTTATATAGATAACTATTTCTCAAACATTTTGTTTTTAAGCATTTGTGTAATAATAACCTAGGTGCTTGTGGCACAGTCCGTGTTAATTCTAGTAAATTTCTCAAAGAATTAAAAATTGAAAAATCTTCTTCTTTAAACTGGGATACTCTTTATAGTGTAGTTACTGATAATGTATTAGTTGTTTTGTGGATTAATAATGGCCCAGTCACGATGCTTACAATACTTCATAATATTATTAGTGATGAATCAAAAATTATTCGTAATTGACACAGTCTATATAAAACAAGCACTAATGCAAAAAAAATACGACAAGTTTTTGGTGATTTACCAAGAAAAGAATTAGCAATTCCACGATTAATTGATGATTATAACAAATATATAGGTAGAGTTAATATTGCAAATCAGCTTCAAAATTATTACAATTGCCAGTTAATATCTCTTTGTACTTGGTTTCCTTTATTTTTCTGGTTATTGGATTCTGCACTTATTAATTGTTATATTCTTTATACCAAAGCTACAAATACAAGAATTACTTATAAAAATTTTAGAATTACTCTTATTTGAGATCTAATTGATGAAGTTCATACTGATGGAATTAAAAAAACTTGAAAACAACTTAGCTATGGAAGTTCTTCAAAATCATCCCCAAAGTGAAAGTGAATTGCTTATGTTACAAAAAATTTTAAATTGTCTTCTACTTATTTATTATCAGGAGATCATTTAGCAGAATGGAGACAGAAAAGGGAATCATGCATATATTGCTGCTACTTGGCAAAAATAATAAAGATAATAAAAAGCCAAATTAGCTGCGATCTCTCAAAGTCAATTTTGGTGCATTAAATATAATGCACCTCTTTGTTGCTCTAAAGTATAACCAAATTGCTTTAGAGATTTTCATCAACATAAATAAATAAATTTATAAATAATTAATAAATTGTTTAACTTATATTAATAAATAAAATGAATTAGCCTTGCTTTTTAAAAAAAAAATAAACTAAAAAAATAAAATAAAAATAAATAAATAAACTAAATTAAAATTTTAAACATTAAAAATTTAAGAAATTTAAAAGCAAAATACTATCGAAAATATTATATGATAGATCAATTAGAATTAAGCAAACTTTATACTATTCAATTCTTTATATTGAGCCAAATCAAATAGTATAAAAATTGCCTAATTCTGATTACTGGATCGTAAAATATCTTTGCTTAAGCGAACCTTTTTCTAAAATTTTGCAAGAAACTTTGATTTTTTTAAATAACAAGATCTTATGATCTAGTGATTAGAATTGAATAATTTTTTTATTATTCAACTCATCTTGCTAAGATAAACTGAATGACATAAAATTCATTTAATTTTAAGCAATAGATCGTAAGTTACAGTAGTTTAATACAATTTTTTTTTGGTTATTTATTGTCACAGATTAAAACGAAATCTGATCAAACCGAAATTTTTCTGTTTTTTAAGGAAAATTTAAAATTTTTTAGGTGATATTTTTTGGAGTTCTTTTTAGCATTAGGGGTAGGATTTAGGGTTAGGTTTATTAATAAATGAGTATATGTGGGTTTTATAGGCTCTAAGGGTGGGTATGAGAGGTCCCCAGTTTCATTTTGATCAGATTTCATTTTAATCTGCGACATTTATTAATATCTATTATATAATACAAGGCTGAAGTTAAATAATGGTATCTGCTATACAAAAATCAATTTTTTAAAATTTAAAGAAAATTTTAATAAGTAAATCTCTTTTAAGTAAAGTTGTAGAGGAGACTTTTGTGGATTCCAAGATTTGGAGTTAAAGACATGAACATAAAGATCTGTAAATTGGTGATTACACAAAGTATTATTGTCTATAATACTTTGTGTAACTACCAATTTATATATCCTTATATTTGTGTCTTTATCTCAAAATATCTTGGGATCTACAAGGCCAATTTTAATAATCTAACCATCATTAGAACCAGAAAAGTCTTTTCTACAATTTTACTTAGAAACTTAAAAGAAATTTACTTATTAAATTTTTTTTTAAATTTTAAAAAATTGATTTTATATTAAATTCTTATATTTGTGTCTTTAATTCCAAGTATCTTGAGATCTATAAGGCCAATTTTGATGATCTAACTACTATTAAAATCAAAAAAATCTTCTCTACAACTTTACTTAGAGATATAACAGATCTTAACTTAATAAAAAAACTTTTTAATTTTAAAAAAAATTAATTTTTATATTTTTTTTCCTTTGGCAATACTGTTTACTTTATTATAGAAACAGACTTTTATCCTTACATGGTATAAGAAATCTAAATCTATAAGTGTTCTAACCAAAATGTAAACTCACTCATAGTGTACCTCGTAGATGCCATAACATCCACTTGCAGTTAGTGCGAACTATTAAACTGCTGTGTTTTGCCCAGATGCAATTGTCTAGCAACACTTGGCCTTCTCCAGAGATCTGAAACTCACTCCAGACTTATTTCCCCCAGATTCCTTAGCTGGCTGTTGCTCACCCCATTAAGATTTTTGCCCTACAATAGAATGCTGCTAAACTGATGACACTTTCTCGTAGAAAAAGAAAAAAGAAAAAAAAAGGATAATGGAAAATAAAAAAAAGTTTAAAAAATAAAACTAATACATCAAAAAAAATGGATATTAATACTAAAGAATATAAAAAAAAACTAAACTAAAACTTAAAAGAAACTATCGTTAAAAAGAAGAAAACCTGCTAACCAGGCAAAAACTTCTAATTATACAGAGTCATGATCTACTATTAAGTGCGAGAGTTCTGACAAGAAATATAAAACTAAAACAAAATATACTATAACTTGTGCCAGAGGCTAAAAATTATATACGGAAGACTAGAGGATACCTGTATATCTCTTTTCACTTTACTTTACTCTTTCAATTAAATCCATATCTTCATCCAAAAGTATAAGAATTTTGAAATCTCCACGTGCTTTATCTAATGATCACGTGTTTGTATGTTCTCAACAACATGACACTAAAGTATTCTTCCGAACACTCATTCAGTTACTAAATTCGTCGATACTGTCCATTTTATATGTATTGTTTGTCATCATGCAGATTTTCCCAATATAAAAGTAGTAAACATTGCTGATTTTTTGGAGAGGATATGCCGAATTCTCTACTTTTTGTTAAAAATTATGGCCAAAAGTATTGAAGTGAAAAAAGTATTATATTTGCGAAAGCTCAAGACAAAGAAGGTGTTTCTAGTTGTTTATCATAGAACTAAAAAGCTTCAGACACTTGAGTCAGGAGTTTTTCACTACTACTGTTACCAAAATAACCCTTTTGGCTTGGATGCCGAATGTGCGAGGAAGTCTACCTAGAAGTAAAGCTTGACCTAAAGCACAAACCAACTATATACATCCTGCTCTTCAGTGTTTCACATATAAGTCTTCATTGACAACAGCATCAATAAGAAACCTCAGGTATCTTCAGACTTTTTAGGGCCTTGAATCTTCAAACTGTTTTGGTCCGGTCTTGGTTCAAGTGATTGTCAGAAAAAGTTGAATGTGGCTGGTGTTTTTGAATTAATTTTTATATTAATTTATTATATTTTCTATATTAAATATTAAAAATAGAGTTTCTTAAAGCAGGGCAGATTATATAATAATTAGCCAATTAAATCATCAAAATTTGATAAACTCGAATTAGTTTAACAAAGCAAAACAAGCAAAATAAAAAGAAAAAAGCACAAAAATAATAGTCTAAACCTATTTATAAAAAATTATAAAAAGATAATTTTGCTTATAAAAATATTTGACCACAACCCAAAGTAACTTTAACTCTAATGTTAAAAAAAACAGCCTTCTTAATTGAAATATTTGCTTCTGTTAAAATACCTTTATGTCAAGCAAAAATAAAAATTTTCAGTATTAAATTTATAATATTACTTACTTTTTTATATCATTATATATAGAATATTTAAAATACTTTAATCTAAGTATTTAATCAGTTTTATTATAAAATTCTAACATTTAAAATCTTAATAACAAAGGGTGTGGCGACTTAGTAAAGTTGGCAAGTTGTTGCACCCCCAAGTAGCAGGACTAGAGTTCGAATCTCACCAGCGACGAAAATTTGAATTATAAAAAATGCA